CACATTCAGTTTGCCTAGTGCCATGATCAGTTCTTTCTGTAACATTTTCTCTGGTATTGTCAATATTGTGACTGTAGTTCAAATTGCAGCTAAATTCACAGCACCCAGGGAATTTAATATTTGAACAGAATAGGAAGAACAATATTTTTCTCTAAATCTCCAAACAGCAGTTCATGTATATGGGCTATACCTCCTTAAGTCCTTTAATATGAAAGTTCTCTATTATCTACTTTCTTTGAACATGGAAGGTGTTGGCAACAGGCCATAGGGGCTGTCCCACTTCCTGGAGACCACCTAAGGCCTTTGGAAATCGCTTCTCTTGGTTTTAGGTTGATGCTAGTTAGATATATTTTAAACTGTCCTGTGTATGTATTTGTATACACACACATACATATACATATATTTCCCTATTCATGATTTCATGATTCATCTATATCACGATTCATGCAACAAAACGGGGGTTTGCAAACTTTTCCTGTAAAGGGCCAGATAATAAGTAATTTAGGATTTGTGGGCTTGATGGTCTCTGTTACAGTTCCTGAAGTCTGCCATTGTAGCCCCAAGCAGTCACAGACAATAGGTAAATGGAGGACGCTGGCTGTGTTCTAATAAATACTTATTTATAAAGGCAGATGGTGGGGCAGATTTGGCTCACGGTCATAGCTTGCCGTCCTCTACTATAAAACGTTGTTCTAAATTAATGAACTGAAAAAGTGCAGCAACAATGATACACACACACATCATTAGGACGCTGACATATACCACAAGCAAAACAGCACGCACGATTAGCCTACAGGAACCTTCCCTACCTCCTCTTGCAAAGCCCATCATGATATCAGCAGTTCCTGTTCTAACCTTCTTGAAGCTCAGCGGGATCTCTTTGCTCCATAGCTGGAAGGCTTTTGCCACTAACTGGTTCACTATGAGAGGTGACAAGTCTTGAGTATATGATACGACCCTGGTAGCAAATGAAAAAATGATGTTTGACCTGTTAGGAAAAGGGCTTTATTGTTTTTGCCAAAATGAACCAAGATAAAACTAACCTGTAAGTGACTACTTTGGAAGTCCATTTTGGGCTACCTGGGAACAAGGAGTATTCTGCCACATCTGGCACTCCACATCTGGGCTTCTGCATTATTTCTATGATGTGGGAGTTTAATATTCCGGTTATAGGGAGGCGAAAGAATTTTTCCATCTCCTTAAGTCTGGCTTCTAAACTGTTGGCCTCCTTTGTTTTTGAGTCAGTTGGATAAAATCTCTTGAGGTAGTCCTATTGGAAAGAGAATAATTGACCTGCAATTCTTGCTTTTTGT